CAGATCACCCTAACCCTAACCAATCAGATTTTTTAGCTTCAACATCAGCCAAACTTCAGCATCAGCCATCACATTTAATATACATGCAGTTAGCATAACTTGATTATGGTGTTTTTTGGCTTGTTGCTTATCTCCACTTAATTTAATATGAATAACGTCTCCTACTTGTAACACTGCTGGTTTTTCATCTGTTAATTTAGAAATTATAACAAATAAAATATTCATAAGTAATCTATAAGCTCTATTCGAAGTTACAAAATTAACTTGAATCATGTGAATTGGAATCATCTGATTCATAATTCTTGTTATCTCTTGTCGACATTTTTCAATTTTATATTCACACACTATTTCTGGCATGATAGCTACAAGCTGACGATATGCATCACAAGAAATTAATGACTTGTCACAGGCACAAGCAATCGAATCTAAAAATTGATCTGATTGAGAATTTTCAGAGTTTAAGTTTTGAAAATTAACATATAAATCATTTATATTTAATTTTATAGATTTTAATACAGTATTGTGAAAGTTATGTAATTGAACTGCAGACTTAATTCTATCACGAATATTATAAGCCAAGGTTTTGAGATGCTTATTTTTTTGTGATTCAGATTGAAGTTCGTGAAATAGTTTTTTTCGTGATTGAGTTTTAAAAAATGTTTGATCCTGGTTTCGACATCTTTTTAAACATTCTAAATCGAATCCAAAAAGTATAATCTCTGAAAATTGTGAATTACTATGACTCTTTAACTTCTATATATTTATAAAATATACAATATATATAAATATATAATAAATATCATATATAACAATTTATTAATTCATTATACATTAATATAATATTTATTAATCACAATCTGCAAAAATAAAGCTGAAACATTACTAGCTGATTTATTACTTGAAATTGACTGTTGTTTTCTATCGTAACTATTCCAAGTAATTGTATATATAAGCTTTTCACAAGAATTATACTGAGTTTTAGCGATCAAATCCACACCATAAACCTCTACACGAACTATATACCCATTAGGAATTGGATAGCTACTTCGTTAAGTTCGCTTTACTTGTTGTAGATAAAAACCAAGTTGTAAAATTTTGTAAAGATATTGTTTTTTTTTATTTCCAATAAGTTGAGTTACACATATGCTTGGATAGTTATCAATGATTTCCAGACCACTAGTTTGTATATTGTCTTGCCAGCAAACCTCTTGAAGAAGATAATAAGTAAAATGAGAACCTTGAGTTTTTTTTTAAACATAATTTAGCTATTTTTTTTTGGTTTATTTAAAAAGGTATTTTTTTTTAAAAAAAAAAAAAAAAATTGTCCAAAGTACACAGTTCAAACAAAGCTAAAAAATAAAAATTTTATATCAAAATAAGAGTTAGAACGTTATATATATATGTTGTGCGTCAGATTAAAACTTGCGTCAGATTGAATCTGACGCACGTCAGATGATTATCAGTTGACCAG